ATCTGAATAGCTGAATTGTATTAAACACCCGCTGAATTGATTAATTTGTAATATTAAGTTGTTTTCAAGCTATTTTATTAGCTGAATTGCAAATTTGCTTAGCTGAATATAATTTTTAATAATTATATTGCTATTTTATAAAATTTTCTTTAAAATTACACAGCTGAATATCGAATTGAATAGCTGAATTGTATTAAACACCCGCTGAATTGATTAATTTGTAATATTAAGTTGTTTTCTAAGCTATTTATTTAGCTGAATTGCAAATTTGCTTAGCTGAATATACTTTTTAATAATTATATTGCTATTTTAATAAAATTTTTCTTCTAAAATTTACACAGCTTGAATACCAAATTGGAATAGCTGAATTGTAGTAACACCAGCTAATTCATTAATTAATTTTTAAACTTTTGTGTTTTTCAAGGAAATTTACTTACGCTTGAATATGATTTTAGTATAATGTCATTGGTGTTTTGTAGTGAAGTTTTAAAGAAATTTACTACAGCTGAATTACAAAAATTTCTTAGCTGAATTGAGTTTTTAATGTAAATTTTTTAAAGATTTTATCTTTATGGCCAAAAATTACTTAGCTGAATTGCAATAAACTAGAGCTGGAATTAGATATTCCAATAATAAAATGCCTATTTTATTAATTTTCCTTGACATCTCACAGGGCTGAATTGCAAATAATGTTAGCTGCAATTGAATAAATGGTAAGTAAAATTTCAAGTTTTCTCATTTTTCTACAAAATTACTTAGCTGAATAACAAAATTATTAGCTGAATAGCAATCAACTACAGCTGAATTTAATATATTGTACTTAAAAATTTAATTTATTAACATGTTCTTAAAATAACAGCTGAATTATGCAGATAAAGTTAGCTGAATTGAATATTTTGCAAAAACTTGTAGATTTCTTATATTCCTTTAAATTTACTTAGCTGAATAGCTTAATTCTTAGCTTTAATGTATAACGAAAGCTGAATTTAATATTTTTACTAAATTTAAATTTTATTTAACATTTTCTTAAATCACCAGCTGAATTGCATATAAAGGTAGCTGAATTGAATATTTTTCAAGAAAACTTGTAGATTTCTTATGTACCCTAATAAATTTACTTAGCTGAATAGCAAAATTCCTTAGCTGAATTCTATTTTTCTAATATGCATTAATCATTTTCCCTTTTTTAGAGTAGTGGCATCACTGTTCTTTGTTTATATATTAAACAACGGTAACTTGTAAGAGAAAAAGAGAAATTTACCCTTTAAAGAGTATTCAATACCTTGAACTCTTACCAAGAGTCTGTTTGATTTATGCAGAAATGAATGGAAAAGCAAAAAATAAATCTCTACCAAAATAAAGACAAACGTTATAAAAAAAAACTAAATAAAATCTGACTCATGGTTAAGAAGAGATATTAAAGCCAACAGCCAATAAGCCGTCAGTCAGGGTAGTTGGGTCAAGCTGGCGTTTTGTTAAAAACAAAATGAAAAAGCTTAAAAAACACAAAATGAATGATAAATTAAAATGTTAAACCGCAAAACCGGTTTGACAGAAATATGAAATAAAAAGTAAAAAATGCAATTTTTTAGCACAAAAAATAAACAATATGACAGTTATATACACAGAAACAACAACAGGGGGACAACAAAAAGAGAGTGAGTACAAATGACAGGCTTAAAATTAAGCTCAGGTTAAAACTTAAAATAACATGACGTCAATATGTGTTTTGTTTCAATTAGAAATTCTTAGAAACAAAATAATTTAAAAATAAACTTCGCAAAACAATTTGAACAAAATTTAACAATAATTATAAAAAACAATTTACAAAAAAAGTGAATGAGGGAAATGAATTTAAAAAAAAGAAAACGTAAAAAAAAACAAACTTACTTGGTGGGTGTACGTCTTAAGCTCATACGTGCCCAATTATCGCGTGGTATAAAATTTAAATCATCATCATCACTAAAGCGCAAGTAAATTGAAATAAAAAGAAAAAACAACAATAACAAAATTAATTTATTTATTGATAAAACTTTAAGTTAAGTAGAGAAGGTGGAAGAATTACTTACTGTTGAGGCGTAGAGTTATTGCCACCATGTGGTGCCAAATCCAATTCAATACCTGAACTGCCATTTAAGTTATTATTGCCATCATTGGTGGAGAGCGAATGATCGACATGATCATGTGTGGAATGTATGCTAACTAATTCATTTTCACCATAACCCTCAAAGGATTCACCATCGGAGAGGGAAGAACATTGTGATTTGCCGGGATCTGAAAGGAAAAGATAATAGAAGTTAAAAAAAGAAAAATATATATATTCAAAAGTCTAGTATATAGGCCAGACAATGGTCTAATCTATAGTCTATAGTCTAGTCTATAGTCTAGTCTAGTCTAGTCTAGTCTATAGTCTAGTCTATAGTCTAGTCTATTAGTCTAGTCTATAGTCTAGTCTATAGTCTAGTCTATAGTCTAGTCTATAGTCTAGTCTATAGTCTAGTCTATAGTCTAGTCTATAGTCTAGTCTATAGTCTAGTCTATAGTCTAGTCTATAGTCTAGTCTATAGTCTAGTCTATAGTCTAGTCTATAGTCTAGTCTATAGTCTAGTCTATAGTCTAGTCTATAGTCTAGTCTATAGTCTAGTCTATAGTCTAGTCTATAGTCTAGTCTATAGTCTAGTCTATAGTCTAGTCTATAGTCTAGTCTATAGTCTAGTCTATAGTCTAATCTATAGTCTAGTCTATAGTCTAGTCTATAGTCTAGTCTATAGTCTAGTCTATAGTCTAGTCTATAGTCTAGTCTATAGTCTAGTCTATAGTCTAGTCTATAGTCTAGTCTATAGTCTAGTCTATAGTCTAGTCTATAGTCTAGTCTATAGTCTAGTCTATAGTCTAGTCTATGTCTAGTCTATAGTCTAGTCTATAGTCTAGTCTATAGTCTAGTCTATAGTCTATATCTTAGTCTAGTCTATAGTCTAGTCTATAGTCTAGTCTATAGTCTAGTCTATAGTCTAGTCTATAGTCTCTCTATAGTCTAGTCTATAGTCTAGTCTATAGTCTAGTCTATAGTCTAGTCTATAGTCTAGTCTATAGTCTAGTCTATAGTCTAGTCCTATTCTAGTCTATAGTCTAGTCTATAGTCTAGTCTATAGTCTAGTCTATAGTCTAGTCTATAGTCAGTCTTAGTCTAGTCTATAGTCTAGTCTATAGTCTAGTCTATAGTCGATAGTCTATAGTCTAGTCTATAGTCTAGTCTATAGTCTAGTCTATAGTCTAGTCTATAGTCTAGTCTATAGTCTAGTCTATAGTCTAGTCTATAGTCTAGTCTATAGTCTAGTCTATAGTCTAGTCTATAGTCTAGTCTATAGTCTAGTCTATAGTTCTAGTCTATAGTCTAGTCTATAGTCTAGTCTATAGTCTAGTCTATAGTCTAGTCTATAGTCCTAGTCTATAGTCTAGTCTATAGTCTAGTCTATAGTCTAGTCTATAGGTCTAGTACTATAGTCTAGTCTATAGTCTAGTCTATAGTCTAGTCCTAGTCTAGTCTGATAGTCTAGTCTATAGTCTCGTCTAATGTCTAGTATATAGTCTAGTCTATAGTCAGTCTTCTTAGTCTAGTCTATAGCTAGTCTATAGTCTAGTCTTAGTCCTAGTCTATAGTCTAGTCTATGTCAATCTAAGTCTAGGTCTATAGTCTAGTCTATAGTCTAGTCTATAGTCTAGTCTATAGTCTAGTCTATAGTCTAGTCTTAGTCTAGTCTATAGTCTAGTCTATAGTCTAGTCTATAGTCTAGTCTATAGTCTAGTCTATAGTCTAGTCTATAGTCTAGTCTATAGTCTAGTCTATAGTCTAGTCTATAGTCTAGTCTAACATCTAGTCTATAGTCTATTCTATAGTCTAGTCTTAGTCTAGTCTATAGTCTAGTCCTATAGTCTAGTCTAAGTCTAGTCATAGGTTCTATAGTCTAGTCTATAGTCAGTCTATATATCTATAGTCTAGTCTATATCTAGTCTATAGTCTAGTCTATTGTCTAGTCTATAGTCTAGTCTATAGTCTAGTCTATAGTCTAGTCTATGTCTAGTCTATAGTCTAGTCTATAGTCTAGTCTAGTCTATAGTCTAGTCTATAGTCTAGTCTATGTCTAGTCTATAGTCTAGTCTATAGTCTAGTCTATAGTCTAGTCATAGTCTAGTCTATAGTCTCTAGTCTATCTTAGACTAGTCTATATCTAGTCTATAGCTTAGTCTATAGTCTAGTCTATAGACTAGTCTAGTCTAGTCTATAGTCTAGTCTATAGTCTAGTCTAGTCTAGTCTATAGTCTAGTCTTAGTCTAGTTCTATAGTCTAGCTATAGTCTAGTCTACAGTCTAGTCTATAGTCTAGTCTATAGTCTAGTCTATATCTAGTCTATAGTCTAGTCTATAGTCTAGTCTATAGTCTAGTCTATGTCTAGTCTATAGTGTAGTCTAGTCTATAGGTCTAGTCTATAGGTCTAGTCTAATGTCTAGTCTATAGTCTAGTCTATTAGTCTAGTCTATAGTTGTCTATAGTCTAGTCATAGTCTAGTTTAGTCTAGTTCTATAGTCTAGCTTAGTCTAGTCTATAGCTAGTCTATAGTCTAGTCTATAGTCTAGTCATAGTCTAGTATCGTCTACAGTCTAGTCTATAGTCTAGTCTATCGTTAGTTCTACAGTCTAGTCTATAGTCTAGTCTATAGTCTAGTCTATAGTCTAGTCCTATAGTCGCTAGTCTATAGTCTAGTCCTATAGCATTCTATGTCTATAGTCTAGTCTATAGTCTAGTCTATGTCTAGTCTATAGTCTAGTCTATAGTCTAGTCTATAGTCTAGTCTATAGTCTAGTCTATAGTCTAAGTCTATAGTCTAGTCTCTAGTCTAGTCATAGTCTAGTATATAGTCTAGTCAGTCTATAGTCTAAGTCTATTAGTCTGTCTATTGGTTAGGCCTCTAGTCTAGTCATAGTGGTCTATAGTCTCGGTCTATAGTTAGTCTATAGTCAGACTATAGTCTAGTCTAGCGACTAGTATAGGTCTAGTCTAGTTATCTATAGTCTAGTCTATAGTCGTCTATAGTCTAGTCTATAGTCTAGTCTATAGTCTAGTCTGTCTAGTCTATAGTCTAGTCTATAGTCTAGTCTATAGTCTAGTCTATAGTCTAGTCTATAGTCTAGTCTATAGTCTAGTCTATAGTCTATCTATAGTCTAGTCTATATCTAGTCTATAGTCTAGTCTATAGTCTAGTCTATAGTCTAGTCTATAGTCTAGTCTATAGTCTAGTCTATAGTCTAGTCTATAGTCTAGTCTATAGTCTAGTCTATAGTCTAGTCCTATAGTCTAGTCTATAGTCTAGTCTATAGTCAGTCTATAGTCTAGTCTATAGTCTAGTCTATAGTCTAGTCTATAGTCTAGTCTATAGTCTAGTCTATAGTCTAGTCTATAGTCTAGTCTATAGCTAGTCTATAGTCAGTCTATAGTCTAGTCTATAGTCTAGTCTACAGTCTAGTCTATAGTCTAGTCTATAGTCTAGTCTATAGTCTAGTCTATAGTCTAGTCTATAGTCTAGTCTATAGTCTAGTCTACAGTCTAGTCTATAGTCTAGTCTATAGTCTAGTCTATAGTCTAGTCTATAGTCTAGTCTATTGTCTAGTCTATAGTCTAGTCTATAGTCTAGTCTATAGTCTAGTCTATAGTCTAGTCTAGTCTATAGTCTATCTATAGTCTAGTCTATTGTCTAGTCTATAGTCCTAGTCTATAGTCTAGTCTATAGTCTAGTCTATAGTCTAGTCTATAGTCTAGTCTATAGTCTAGTCTATAGTCTAGTCTATTGTCTAGTCTATAGTCTAGTCTATAGTCTAGTCTATAGTCTAGTCTATAGTCTAGTCTATAGTTTAGTCTATAGTCTAGTCTATAGTCTAGTCTCTAGTCTAGTCTATAGTCTAGTCTATAGTCTAGTCTATATCTAGTCTATAGTCTAGTCTCTAGTCCAGTCTATAGTCTAGTCTATAGTCTAGTCTATAGTCTAGTCTATAGTCTAGTCTATAGTCTAGTAGTCTATAGTCTAGTCTATAGTCTAGTCTATAGTCTAGTTTATAGTCTAGTCTATAGTCTAGTCTATAGTCTAGTCTATAGTCTAGTCTATAGTCTAGTCCATAGTCTAGTTTTATAGTCTAGTCTATAGTCTAGTCTATAGTCTAGTCTATGGTCTAGTCTATAGTCTAGTCTATAGTGTAGTCTATAGTCTAGTCTATAGTCTAGTCTATAGTGTAGTCTATAGTCTAGTCTATGTCTAGTCTATAGTCTAGTCTATAGTCTAGTCTATAGTCTAGTCTATAGTCTAGTCTATAGTCTAGTCTATAGTCTAGTCTATAGTCTGGTCTATAGTCTAGTCTAAGTCTAGTCTATAGTCTAGTCTATAGTCTAGTCTATAGTCTGGTCTATAGTCTAGTCTATAGTCTAGTCTATAGTCTGGTCTATAGTCTGTCTATAGTCTAGTGTATGTCTAGTCTATAGTTCTAGTCTATAGTCTATCTATAGTCTAGTCTATAGTCTAGTCTATAGTCTAGTCTATAGTCTAGTCTATAGTCTAGTCTATAGTCTAGTCTAGTCTATAGTCTAGTCTATAGTCTGGTCTATAGTCTAGTCTATAGTCTAGTCTATAGTATAGTCAATAGTCTAGTCTATAGGCTAGTCTTTAGTCTTCTGGATGCACTAATGCATAGTCTAGTCTATATTCTGGACTATAGTCTGGTCTATAGTTTGTCCCGAAGATTAGAAATTAATTTATCTTATTATCTTTATCTAGTCCATAGTTTATTCTATAGTTTAATCTATAGTCAAGTCCACAGTCTTCTCGATAGCCTTGTCGACGCTCTAATACATAGTCTAGTTTATATTATAGACTATAGTCTGGTCTAAAAGTTTGTCCCGAAGTTTAAAAGTTATCTTACCTGTACTTGATGGTGGACTGGATGGAGTAGAACAACTATCTCCTGAATCATTTGTGGCATATAAATAATTTGTATTGGGTTTCTGGTTATTTTTAATACTGGGCATGGGTGCCATTTTGTAAACTTGTAGATAAAGGAATTTTGGCAGTTATATAATGTTGTTTAAAAATAGGAATGCTGAAAAGAAAGAGAAATATATTAAAAAATCGAAAAATACTAAAAAATATTTTTTTTTAATTACTTTAAAAAGCTTTAATTTAAAAATATGAATAAATTTCTATAAAAAGCAATAAGTTAACATTTCTTTATACTATTTAACCTATAAAAATATCTTGGCCCCTTTTCTATTCTTATTTAAATATTAATGGGTCAAGTAAAATGTTTCTTCGTTTAACACAAATAAATGTTAACCCAAATAAATAAATAACTATTGTTTTTTTTATTTGAAAATAGAAATAAAATTTTTTCAATAAATGACGTAGTCAAAATTCTTATCCTTGACACCATAAGCTAGAAAACATGTAAAAAAACGATTCCCTTTCTTTTCATTATTCAAATTACAATTACCAACCAAACATATAACTAACTGACAGCTAAATAATTATTTAGTTCGAAATTTAAATGACATTTTAATAGTCACAAGTTGTTATACTCAAACTACCGGTATTTTAGTTTTTTTCTTTTTTGAGAAGGAAATCATATTACTTTAAAAAAAATTAACAACCTGTTGAATTTTTTGGTATTAAGCATACATGGGAATTTTTCATTAAGCATTAAAATTTCATTACCATTTATAGAAAAAATTGTAATGAAAAATATTTTAAGTACCATTTAATGAAAATTATATTTTTTTCATTATAACTTTTTTTGATAATGGTAATGAATTTAATAATGAATTTTAAAAAACGAATTTAATTAGTATTTAAAATTGTCGAAAAATATATTAAGGAAAATTTTTCGAAGATTCGAGGTTTGAAAGCTTTTAAAACCAGTTCCCGTAGCCCAAATTGGCTGAAATTTTGCAGTCATAAGTACATCTGATGACAATACAATAATATGTTCGAATATTCGAAATTAAGTTCGAAAATTCGAAGTTATTTTCGAAAAATTTTTTATGTTTTTAAATTAATCTCTGTGTCATAAAACCTTAAAAAAAAAATTTCGAAAATTCGAACTCGTGTTCGAAAAAATTTTAAAGCTGTTAAAACTAGTTCTTCTAGTCCGAATGTGCTGAAATTTGGCATACATGATTTCACCTACCGATAATACATTATAATGTTCGGATATTCGAAATTAATTTCGAAATTCGAACTAATGTTCGAAAATTTTTAAAATCCATTAAATAATGGTAATGAAAATTTATTTTTAAATAATTACTAATGAAATCGTTTCATTAAAAACCATTACCATTAGACAAAATAATGCTAATGAAAAAAAAAATAATTATAATTTTTTTCAATTTAATGCTAATGAAATCATCAATTAATTAGTCGATATAATTAACTACTCCCATGTATGGTATTAAGTTGAAAAAAAAATTGTTTAAATTTCAAGTAAATAGCGTGTTAAATTACTCAAAGTGCAGATATAATAAAAACGTAAACAAACAAACTTGAAAGCGGAAAAAGGGGCTTGAATTTAATTATTTTGACATGAAATGTGAAATGAAAAATTTGTGGCAAAAAACTAAAGTAGTTTTGTTTATTTTTCGCAGAGAAAATGAAAGTTCTTGAGAAAAACAAATTTAAATTAGAAAATTTGCATGGAAAAAGTTTAAAATTAAGGGTCCAATAAAGAAACAACAAAAAGTGAAAGAGAAATATCATCGTTATTTTTTTTTTAACTCTATAGTTTTGAGTATAGATTAGTCTACAGTTTTGACTATAGATCAGTCTATAGTCTTGACTATAGACCTCTAGTCTTGACTATAGATCAGTCTATAGTCTTGATTATAAATCTCTATAGTCTTGACTATAGAGCTCTATAGTCTTGACTATAGATCAGTCTATAGTCTTGACTATAGATCAGTCTAAAGTCTTGACTATAGATTAGTCTAAAGTCTTGACTATAGATTAATCTTGACTATAGATCAGTCTATAGTCTTGACTATAGATCAGTCTATTGTCTTGACTATAGATCAGTCTATAGTCTTGACTATAGATCAGTCTATAGTCTTGACTATAGATCAGTCTATAGTCTTGACTATAGATCAGTCTATAGTCTTGACTATAGATCAGTCTATAGTCTTGACTATAGATCAGTCTATAGTCTTGACTATAGATCAGTCTATAGTCTTGACTATAGATCAGTCTATAGTCTTGACTATAGATCAGTCTATAGTCTTGACTATAGATCAGTCTATAGTCTTCACTATAGATCTCTATAGTCTTGACTATAAATCAGTCTATAGTCTTGACTATAGATCAGTCTATAGTCTTGACTATAGATCAGTCTATAGTCTTGACTATAGATCTCTATAGTCTTGACTATAGATCAATCTAAAGTCTTGACTATAGATTAGTCTAAAGTTTTGACTATAGATTAGTCTAAAGTCTTGACTATAGATTAGTCTATAGTCTTGACTACAGATCAGTCCATAGTCTTGACTATAGATCAGTCTATTGTCTTGACTATAGATCAGTCTGTAGTCTTGACTATAGATCAGTCTATAGTCTTGACTATAGATCAGTCTATAGTCTTCACTATAGATCTCTATAGTCTTGACTATAAATCAGTCTATAGTCTTGACTATAGATCAGTCTATAGTCTTGACTATAGATCAGTCTATAGTCTTGACTATAAATCTCTATAGTCTTGACTATAGATCTCTATAGTCTTGACTATAGATCAGTCTAAAGTCTTGACTATAGATTAGTCTAAAGTCTTGACTATAGATTAGTCTAAAGTCTTGACTATAGATTAGTCTATAGTCTTGACTACAGATCAGTCTATAGTCTTGACTATAGATCAGTCTATTGTCTTGACTATAGATCAGTCTGTAGTCTTGACTATAGATCAGTCTATAGTCTTGACTATAGATCAGTCTATAGTCTTCACTATAGATCTCTATAGTCTTGACTATAAATCAGTCTATAGTCTTGACTATAGATCAGTCTATAGTCTTGACTATAGATTTCTAGTCTTGACTATAGATCAGTCTATAGTCTTGACTATAAATCTCTATAGTCTTGACTATAGATCTCTATAGTCTGGACTATAGATCAGTCTAAAGTCTTGACTATAGATTAGTCTAAAGTCTTGACTATAGATTAGTCTAAAGTCTTGACTATAGATTATTCTATAGTCTTGACTACAGATCAGTCTATAGTCTTGACTATAGATCAGTCTATTGTCTTGACTATAGATCAGTCTGTAGTCTTGACTATAGATCAGTCTATAGTCTTGACTATAGATCAGTCTATAGTCTTCACTATAGATCTCTATAGTCTTGACTATAAATCAGTCTATAGTCTTGACTATAGATCAGTCTATAGTCTTGACTATAGATCAGTCTATAGTCTTGACTATAAATCTCTATAGTCTTGACTATAGATCTCTATAGTCTTGACTATAGATCAGTCTAAAGTCTTGACTATAGATTAGTCTAAAGTCTTGACTATAGATTAGTCTAAAGTCTTGACTATAGATTAGTCTATAGTTTTGACTACAGATCAGTCTATAGTCTTGACTATAGATCAGTCTATTGTCTTGACTATAGATCAGTCGGTAGTCTTGACTATAGATCAGTCTATAGTCTTGACTATAGATCAGTCTATAGTCTTGACTATAGATCAGTCTATAGTCTTGACTATAGATCAGTCTATAGTCTTGACTATAAATAAGTCTATAGTCTTGACTATAAATCAGTCTATAGTCTTGACTATAGATCAGTCTATAGTCTTGACTATAGATCAGTCTATAGTCTTGACTATAGATCAGTCTATAGTCTTGACTATAGATCAGTCTATAGTCTTGACTATAGATCAGTCTATAGTCTGGACTATAGTTCAGTCTATAGTCTGGACTATAGTTCAGTCTATAGGCTGGACTATAGATCATTCTATAGTGTTGACTATAGATCAATCTATATTCTGGATATGTTCTTGATATTATTGACAATAGATCAGTCTATAGTCTTGACTATAGATCAGTCTATAGTCTTGACTATAGATAAGTCTATAGTCTTGACTATAGATCAATCTATAGTCTTGACTATAGATAAGTCTATATTCTGGACTATAGATCATTCTGTAGTCTTAACTATAGATCAGTCTATAGTCTTGACTATAGATCAATCTATATTCTGGACTATAGATCAGTCTATAGTATTGACTACAGATCAGTCTATAGTCTTGACTATAGATCAATCTATAGTCTTGACTATATATCAATCTTTAGTCTTGACTACAGATCAATCTATAGTATTGACTATAGATCAGTCCATAGCCTTGACCATAGATCAGTCTATAGTTTGAACTATAGATCAGACATAAACTTGGCTATAGATCACTCTATAGTCTTGCCTCTAGATCATTATTGAGTCTTGACTATAGATCAGCCGAAAGTCTTTGTTTTACTTTTCTTTTAACCATTAAATTTCTTACACGTAATAGTTATTTTTATGAAAATATCAATGACCTCTTTAATTAGTAAACAAACTTTAAAACAAAATATTGGAAAAAAACATATAATTCTTAAATCATTATATTTAGCCATAAAAATATGACTTCAGGTGGTCGGTCTATGGCCGACATATGAAAAAAAAAACACATTTTCCATTTATTGCCAGCCAAGCTAAAAAGACGTGAATTTCATAATTTAATAAAAAAAAAATTAAGAGTGTGTGTGTTTTTTTAAACTCATATAAAGCCAAACATTATTGACTATGATTGATTATTATGTATGCCAAGCAAGTAAAGAGAAGTATTTAAATTTTTCTGTATTTTTTTTTTTCTATACATTATGAATAGATTATGCAAGTTTTGTTTTAATGAATATGGTGGCTATATAGCTGGCTTATACCCTCTTAGACTCTTAGAAGTTGTAGTAATAGTTAATGGTAATAAGTAATAATAATTGTCGAGTGTCTGCAACATGTGGTTTATTAGATTTGAACATAATTTTAATATAAAATATGTACATTTCAAAAGTACTTAAACATTTTTCAAAGATTTCTT